GAATAGTCCTAAAGGAAACAGAATGAATATATACCATTCCTCATGAAGAAAACAGAATAGATGAAAAAAATAATTAAATAGAAGAAGAAAACTGTTCTTCATCTGAAGGAAAACGTTGACCTTCAGATTATAAAGGCTAACTAAGTTCCAGGTAGGATTAAAAATAGACATTTCCTGCTGATATTTCTAAATTCAAAGAAAAACAAGAAATACTTATCAGCACCTAAAAGAAAAGTCTAATTACCTACAAAGGAAAGAGAATCAGATTGGCTTTGAATGTCTCATCTGCAACACTAAATAGAAATAGAAAAAGTAGAGTAATTTTATAGAGCTTTGAGGGTAAGAGATTGGGTACTTTGAATTTTTTTTTTTTTCAAATTTAGAGACAAGGTCTCACAACATTGTCCAGACTGGTCTTGAACTCCTGAGCTTAAGAGATCCTCTTGCCTCAGACAGAATTCTGAAAAGATGGGATTATAGGCAGACACCACTGCACGTGGCAGGTCCTTTGAATTCTATATGCATCCAAATTAAAAAGCATTTTCAGATGTCATAACCAAAAGGTTTTCATAATAATATGAGATTTTTACTATTTATTAGATTATTGAATAAAAATCTAGGATGTCGGGGTATAATATGGGGAAAAATATACTGTTAGAAGTTCATATACATATATTGTATATATGTTTATTTTTTGTATGTAAAATATGTATATGAAGAGAAGCAGGATACAAATAAAACAGATTTTAAATAATTGGTAAAAAGGTAAACACTAGCAGAATGTAATAAAACTTAGATTCTCAGTAATTAGAGGAAAAAGAACAAAGAAAATAATACAGAAAGAAATAACCAATAAATAGAAAACTAAGTAAGATAATATAAATATGACCAAACATTCCAGTTATGACTATTAATATGAATGGCTTAAATTTAACTATTACAACACTGAGACTTTCAGATGGGCTACGAATTAAATGCAAATAGCTGCATTTTATAGAAACACACATAAAATGGACAGAAAGGTTGAATATAAAAGAATAGGTTTAAGCGCAAGTCCTTTCAAACTTAAGAGATAAAAGCCCCGTAAGGTTTTAATAGGATATTTGAAACAGGAATATTTAGAAATAATCCTAATTCATTCTGTAATTTTAGCATAATCCAAGCCTAGCTAAATTCCAGAAGAAAAAGTAAACTTTAAACCAAATTCACTTGTGAATATAGATGCAAAATTTCTATTTTAAATGTTATCAAGTAAATTCCAAAGGTATAAGCCCATAATATAGCATACACAGGTAAAGCTTATTCTGGAAATGTGAGAATGGTTCGACATTGGAAAACTAATGTAATTCATTCACGGAAATGTAAACCTGATAAATGTTGCAATGGCACTTGATAAAATTTAATATCTATTCCTATTTAGTTACTTACTTAAACAAATTATTCTACAACTTCTGTGGTAGCCTCATATTTGTATTCCAAGCTCCCATTAGCACTGGAGACCAGTCCAAAACCTTAGCCGTTGGTTGTAGCCCTGTACTCATCTGTACCCCATCTAACTTGTCCCCTAGGACCTAGGTCCTGAATCCTGCATCCCAGCCTTGGGCAAAGGATCAGTCAAGCCGCATCGCCTTCCCACTATGTAATAACAAATCCCTACTGTGTCTGAGTTGTCGCCTACTCTATACACTCACCATCAGATTGGATTCCTTGAGCAGACATCTGCCTAAATTAGAACCAATGTTTCCTTGTCCTAGGTACTGTCAGGAGTTAGTTCCCAAGCCATGGCCCCATTGCTCTGGGCTGAATGCCCATTTCTTTCTAGTACAACAGCCTTTGCAGTGGGGCCACGTGGCTGATGACTCTTAGTTGGCTGATCTCAAGTCCCTTCTATTGCTAAGGACAATCATGAAGAAAGAAGATTAAGCTGTAGCGATAGAATGTTCAGTAGAAAATATGAAAATGATTAATGCTGATAAACTCACTACTCTAGACAGAGGCCATTTCTGACTTGATTGTCTGCAATGTTATCAACTAATAATGTTCAGCTTATCTTTGGTCTAGTTTTCCCCATTCTTCCAATTTGTCAGTGTCCAACTTCTAAAGAAGACCACTGGACTATAAATTCCCTGAGGCCAAGGAAGATCTGCTGTGTTCACTGTTGCATTCCCAGTGGGTTTAGAATAGAGGCTTGTTACTGGAGAAAGGCACTTACCTTGAGCTTTGCAATCTGCCCCACAACAGAGCCCACAGCTCCAGCTGCTGCATTAACCATCACTGTTTCTCCACCCTTCACACCACAGATTTCAAGTAGACCAAAGTAGGCAGTCAGGCTAAAGGAAGAAAATTAAGGATATATGAATAGAGCGGTTTCTTTCCTCTATAACTCATTTATATATGTATCTTGAAGGTCTTCTCAATGGCCCAGTGTCACAGGTCTGAGTAAAAGACAAAAATATAGGAAATAAATATTGCCAGTCACTGTTGCTTTACTTCCTCCATCTCTACTCTCAGATAGGAATAAAGATGATGTCAACTAGGGAGGGAAGGGAGAGTTGGCCAAATTTCAGGGGCAAAAGATAGATCATCTTTCTCAAACTTTGGGGATTCAAGAAGAGAGAGCTATGCATCATTCCCATATAAGTTCTATGGAGATGATGAGCTTCATGGGAGAAGCCCCTATGTTATCATGGTGACATAGCCACAGATAGCTACAATGTGTGATATTAGGCATGAGAGGGTCACAGGGAGCATCTGGAGCTTTCCATGGCTCCAAAGTGGTATGGAAGACCTTCCGAAATATCCCCATATTACCATAAGTAAGATGTCAAAGTTGGCTTGCACGAAAAGAGCTACTGGATATACAAAGATGCAGCACTGGCAGTACTGATGGGGACTGGGTGAAGACACCACCACATCTCATTGGATTGCGAGTTTGGAAGGTGATAGGATTGAAGACTTTCTTCACCACCAAAGTTTCCTCATGTCTCCCTTCACCTCTTCTCCCCTACACCTGGCTCACAGTCCAGAGGGAATGATGGATAACAGAGGAGAACGGAGAGGAACAGCCTTCATCCATAGAGGGTACAGGGCAGGCAGGAAACACCCAGAAGTGCTGGAATTGTTTAGTGCCCACTAATTTCATGGAAGACGGTATTCAGCATCCTCCACTTTCACAATGATGTCCTTGGCAGTGGCAATTTTGAGGAGTTCAAATTCTCAGTGAAATATGAATTTGGGGTACCTAGGAGTTGTTTTTGTTTAGAGGCTGATCATTTGACGGTATATATGTATTTCCATTTCATTCCTCAGAAAACCTTCAAAGTGTAAAAAAGGAAGGGGAAGGAAGGGTGGGAAGAAGGAAGGGGGGAAAAGATCTCAAAACGTAGAGAAAGGAAGTAACTTTGAGCAGGAGACCAGCTTAAGACCAATACAGATCGAGATCAAGAAGTTGTTGTTGTCCCTCTTCTACTGATACTGAACTTTTATTATCCTTGGAGCTTTGCAGCAACCCCAGGGAGAAGAAAGAAGAAATCCAAAGTTTTAAATTTGAAATGATGTGAGAAATCACTGAATTCAACTGAGGTTTTCTCTTATTACACCAGCCAAAAGGAGGGCTTGAGATAGAAATGAAGTTCAGTAGTGGAAAATTTTAAGCTATATTTTTGCAGCCCTGGATCTGAGCCAATAAAATCCAGACCCATTATAGTGATTGTTAAGCCACTTGCAGAATTTCAGACACATTCATGTAAAGTTATTTCTACATTAAAACAACAACAACAACAACAACAACTACCTGTTGACATTACTTAGCTCACACAGCCTCTGACTATATTTGAGGCCCATGGGAGGTTGGCATTGAATAGAAGGCAGTGACAGGCACAGAAAGCACCTTTTCTGAGAATCCATATATCTAACATTCCCTTAACACAGTGTTTTTCAAAAGGGGGAGGCAGCACCACCTGTCTCAGAATCACCTGAAAAAATTTTTTTTTTTTTTTTTTTTTTTTGAGACAGAGTCTTGCCCTGTCGCCCAGGCTGGAGTGTAATGGCATGATCTTGGCTCACTGCAACCTCAGACTCCTGGATTCAAACGATTCTTCTGCCTCAGCCTCCCCAGTAGCAGGGATTGCAGTCACGCGCCACCACACCTGGCTAATTTTTTGTATCTTTAGTAGAGACGGGGTTTCACCATGTTAACCAGGCTAGTCTCGAACTCCTGACCTTGTGATCTGCCCGCCTCTGCCTCCCAAAGTGCTGGAATTACTGGTGTGAGCCACCGTACCCAGCTGAAATGTTTACTAAACATTTAGATTCTCAGGCCTCACCCTAGACCCACTGATTCAGAAATAATCCAAATGTTAATAAGACTCTAGGTGATTCTTATGAATGCTAGCAATTCAGAACTACTCCCTTTACAAAAAAAATTTTTTTGAGACAGGGTCTTGCTCTGTTGCCCAGGCTGGAGTGCAGTGGCGCAATCATAGCTCACTGCAGCCTCAACCTCTAGGGCTCATTGGATCCTCCCACCTCAACCTCCCAAGTAGCTGGGACTACAGGCACATACCACTACACCCAACTAATTTCTAAATTTTTTTGTAGAGACAAGGTCTCACTATGTTGCCCAGGCTGGTTTCCAACTCCTTACCTAAGACGATCCTCCTGCCTCAGCCTCCCAAAGTGCTGGAATTACCAGCATGAGCCACCATACCTGGCTGGGATGGGTCAACTTTCAAGAATGCTAGGACTTCTAATATAGACAATAAGAGAAGTTGAACTTTGAAACCTAGGGTGTCTTTTAGCTGTCCAGACTCCACAGATTTAACATTCCCCCAAAGTTTTGCATCATTTTCTTCAATTAAGCTGGAAGAGCACATGTATTTGATCTCCAAACCATTGACCAAAGTACACCATTAATTTTCCCTCAAGAATTTCTTTACTTTTGGCTTCTTCATCTTATCTCCATTTTATTTTATTTTATTTATTTATTTATTTATTTTTTGAGATGGAATCTCACTCTGTCACCCTGGCTGGAGTGCAGTGGTGTGATCTCGGCCCACTGCAACCTCCGCCTCCTGGGTTCAAGCGATACTCCTGCCTCGGCCTCCTTAGTAGCAGAGAGTACAGGTACATGCCACCATGGCTGGCTAATTTTTGTATTTTTAGTAGAGACATATTGTTCTGTACATGTTGGTCAGGATGGTCTCGAACTGCTGACCTCGTGATCCGCCTGCCTCGGCTTCCGAAAGTGCTGGGATTACAGGCTTGAGCCACCGTGTCCGGTCTCCATTTTATTTTAAAAGGAGATAATGTTTGGGAAAGGCTTTGTGTATCTTAGATCAGAATATCTAATTGAAAGCCTACTCTGGAAATATCTAGAAGGTATATTGGGAGAGGGGGATGCTGGTTGTCACAGGGGGAATAACTCAATCAGAAAGTATAACCTCTGCTTCTCTTTTGGGGTTATATCCATGAAACTCACCCTGGCATGCCAATTGTCCCCAGAGCCAAAGACACTGGTATTGTGTCTGGCCACTCTGTCAGCAGCTTTTCCAGATCTTTCCCATCAGAAATGGAGTGTGTTGTCCAGCCTGGAGAAGTCAGTACAATAGTTCCTTTTGGTAGGTCTGCATTTTTACTTTCCACAACTCTGAAAGATAAAGCACATTAAGACATTAAGGCATGGGACATGTCTTCCCTTTCAAAGGAGTCAGGATGCTGTGGAGTTAGTGTTGACAAAAGGGCAGTGAGGTTGATATTCCACAACTGATAGTCCACCACCCCCTCCATCTTAATTCTTAGCCATCGCATAGGGATCATCAGAGAACTCTCAACTTACCCAGCCACTTGAGGAGTGGCTCATGGGGTGAGGAGCGCCTGTTCTCACCCACTTCTCTTCCTTTTAAGCAAGAGGCCTCTGTCCTCTGGCTCAAGGTGACCTGGACACTAGCCTTCTCTTCTTCAGGTGTCGCTCTCTTTCCCTTGGCCTCCACTCTCCAGAATCTTTGAGATTTTCCTCTCTGTCCCTTTCACTCAACATATAAGTATGCTCAAGCAATTCTCCTGCCTCAGCCTCCTGAGTAGCTGGGATTACAGGCGCCCACCACCACACTAGGCTAATTTTTATGTTTTTAATAGGGACGGGGTTTCACCATGTTGGCCAGGCTGGTCTCGAAATGCTGACCTCAGGTGATCCACCTGCCTTGGCCTCCCAAAGTGCTGGGATTACAGGTGTGAGCCACTGCGCCCGGCCTACCCTTTTCCACTCTATTAACACAGGGTCACCCAAAAGTCTCCCCTCACTGGTTCCCAGGATACTGATGATCTCTGCTGGCTTTTTGCCTCCTCCTCTAAGATGCACCCTTTCTGTCTCATTTACTGATTCCCTTTTCTTCATCCAACTCTTTATCCTTCTTTACCATCTTTCGTCCCCAGATCATAAAGTTATATAACACATATTTATTCTAGAAAATTCTAAACATATAAAATAAAAATATCAGTTCTAATCTCACAGCACAAAGATAACTGCTAACATTTGGGTGTATTTTATGTCAATCTTAATGGTATATTTAAAAATGTGTACTATACGTATTTTTTTATGTTTATTTATTTTCTTTGAGACAGAGACTTGCTCTGTCACCTGGCTGGAGTGCAATGGCGCCTTCTCGGCATACTGCAACCTCTGACTCCCAGGTTCAAGCAATTCTCCTGCCTCAGCCTCCCGAATAGCTGGGACTACAGGCGTGTGCCATCACGCCCAGCTAATTTTTGTATTTTTAGTAGAGACGGGGTTTCACTATATTGGGCAGGATGGTCTTGATCTCTTGACCTCGTGATCCATCTGCCTTGTCCTCTCAAAGTGCTGGGATTATAGGCGTGAGCCATGCACCCGGTTGTTTTATACATATTTACATAATTGAAGTAATTGTATATGTTTTATAACCTATAATTTATCTGTCAACATTACATTGGTCTACATAATTTATACTTTTTTCCATGTTAGTAAGAATCCTTCAAAAAATGTAATGAATTTAATTACTCCCCCTTTATTAGGATACTTTCAGTATTTTTCCCAATGTTAATTATTTTTTCCTTTTTTCTCTGAGTCTGCTTGCTAGGAAATATATTTTAATTAATATTCATAAACATTATTATTTTCTTTCTTTTTTTTTGAGACACGGTCTCCCTCTGTTGCTCAGGCTGGAGTGTAGTGGTGTGATCATGGCTCACTGCAACCTCAACCTCCCCTGAGCTCAAATGATCCTCCTACCTTGCAGCCCTCGCTGAATAGCTAGGGATTACAGGATGCCCCCCCACCACACCTGGGCAATTTTCCGTATTTGTTAGTAAGAGATGGTTTTTGTCATGTTGCCAGGCCTGGTCTCAAACTCTTGACCTCAG